CCAGGATTTACAGCCCCCAGAGATACAGTGCTTATGTTTGTTTAGTCTGCTATGGAGACTGGCTACTGCAGTTGAGTAAAAATCAATGATGAGAACCTATGCTTCATTTAAGGCCTGTTTTAACATATAGACATGGTGCAAATAGGATTTAAACAATGACCTCTTTCTCAATGCAGTGTGACATGTTTCTTAAGATTACAGTTCAAGTCAATACTCAGTTGTTTTTAAGACAATTGCATTAATAATGTGAGGTTTTGTGGTTGAACATATTCCTTACTCAGAGATCGAGTTGCAAGTCTCAGGGGATACACGCATGGTTTGAAAATAGATTTTTTAATACATATCACCTTCCTCTCATTGATTTTCTAAATAATACTCATAAACCATGTCTATTGATCCACAGTGCAGCGCTCGTGTGACTCGTTCACCATTTATTGCCCTTGCCTAAATGGAATATGGGAGAGGACTAATGAAGTAATTGTTATCTAAATCATGCAGATGCACAGTTAAAATGCTGTCAGCTCTTCTTGGAGACAGATTCTACTGCGTCACGTTTGTGTATGCGTCCCTGCATACCATGATTATCGGTTCAAGGTCAAAAGAGAAATCTGTGAAACAGTTGAATTGAGTTCTCTCTCATCTGAACAAACCTGACTTCTGTGTTTTAATGTGTGTGGATTATAAAACTACTTTTATATAAAATGATTGATTTGCTCCTGTGGCAGAGCCTGCAGAAGAGAAACTGTCTTTTTCTCTCTTTTAACCCGTGTAACAATATTGTTCTCTTAAAAAACCTGGAGTTGTTTTTAGATCCATCCATCCTGTATCAGGAACTTCTGGCACAAACGTGTAGCTTCACCTCTTCACATGGCAGTGGTTGCAACTGGTAAATATCAAATTAAAAACCTCCCTCTAGTGGTAGCATTGGGATAGTGCAGCCCAATAGCATTGTTTACCCTGTATACCATATATTTTCTACTGAAAATATTATTTCACATTCCAAAACATAAAATGACAAAGTAAAAAGCCTCCTTATCATTATTGACGGCCAAAAGTAACGCATAATACTTCTTCTTTAACTGCAACACAGATCTTGTTTTCTCTGAAACAAGATGCTTATGCTGCGATTCCCCCATAGACACATCAAATACATCACAACGCAGACTCACAACACAGTAATCAATGCCACTCCATCTGCGAGCCATCGATCAAGTCAGTGATGAATAGTAAGAAACCCAACACCACGTAATGAAGCTCTATTTTATTTCTCTGAAAGACAAACAATGTCAAGATGTTTTGGTCAATATGTTCCAACAGCATCTGTCAGCGAACAAAAGTCTCCATAACAGCCTTGACAGAAGCTCACCTTGGACAAGATTTGTGTTTTTTCCTCAAAACCTTTTCTTCCCACACAGCAACAAGGCTTTAGCTTTAATTGCCAGAAAATCAATGTAGGAAATATACAGTCAGACAGCACATAATGTATTCAAGAATGAAATGTTATGCTTTACAAATGTACCATTGCAGACTCTGTGCTCGTGAGAGGAAAGCAAACAAATGCCAAATGTTGGGGCGTGTGGGATAATAAAAATACATACATTTAATAATAATAACATTTAGAAACGACTAATCAACAATATATAAATTTTGCTCTCAAGCCCAAGATTGGACATTAATAAAGCTGATTTATATGAGGTTATGGTTTAAACTTAATGTAACATGTAATCATTGTAACATGGGATCAAATATGCCTGGCACTGCACTGTACATGGCATTACAGAATTAAACACTGTAGAACATGTATAAATAAACCTAAAAAAAACAAACATACATGATCATTTTAAGTGCATGTGAAAAATCTTTTAAAATCCTCTGGGGTCAGTGTGAATAAAATGTGATTGAACAAGTGCAAAGTGAATAACCACAAGTGACATTTTTAAACGCTACAAGTAGTTCCGCTTGGAAGATGAGTAGACTTTCTCACACTTCTGCAGGCACTCACTGCTCATCATGGGCTCCATAAATCCAACAGCAAAGTGGAGACAAGCCGAGTCGAGAGAGGAGCGTTTAATTTATGAACGAGAGTCGCGAGAGGCAGACGCAGCAAATAAAGCACACAGAGGTGGTCTGTGTCATGCGACAGAGGGAGAGGCCATGAGAGCCGGCCATGTCTGCCAAGTGGAGGAGTATTGTGAAGAAGCCAATGGGAAGCATGGGCATGAAGCAGGGGCATGAAGCAGGGGCATGAAGCAGGGGCATGAAGCAGGGGCATGAAGCAGGCTGTAAGGAGCAGAAAATCACAGTGATACATGGAGCACATGACAGATTTTTAACTCATAAGCAACACCGTGATTGCAAAGACCGTTTTGAGGGAGAACCTGGAGGTAGATGTCTTCTCTGCTCAATCAATACTCAACTGAACATGGTACAAATTCAAATGACTGTTTGTCTTAAAGCTGGAGTAACTAACTTCATTGGGTTTTCATATATATTCAAATTCTGTCACAATGGAAAAAGAAACATTTAAGTTAAAGAAACAGAATGTTGTTTAAGAAACATTCTGCAAACAAACCAGAACCCAAAATAGTCTTTATCTCAATTTAAAAAATATTTGACAACCGGAGAGCTGATTGGCTTAGGCCAAACGTACACTTTGAGAGCAGCTTAACAACTATTAAGTAATCTTTATTCATGTAGTACCTTTCACAGAACAGAGTCACAAAGCGCTTTACGATTGTTGTTTTTTTGGGGCATTTGTCTCTCACTCCGCACAGAGACGGGAGCGGGGTCAGGCCAGACCCACTGTAAATGTTTTTAGTGGTAGGGGAAACCAAAGCACCCGGAGGAAACCAAAGCAGACACGGGGAGAACATGTAAAATCAACACAGAAAGGTCTGGAGGTGGAACCGAAACCAGGACTTTCTTACTGTGAAGCACAAGCGCTAACCACTCTGCCACCTTGCTTCCCTAGATACATTTTATTACAGATTTTTTATGATTTCAAAGTTAGGTACTCCAGCTTTAACAGGTGCAATGCTTCTCCTAACAAGTGTAATGCAAGGAATTTAACTCAGACAGCAGAGGTATACATGGTCAAAAACATAACATTTCACATATTCATTTTGTATATATGAATAATGTAAAACACCAAAAGCCATCACTTGACCATATGGAATAACCGGAATGTGTCTCACCACTGCTGCAGCAAACGTCGCACTTGGTTTCATCTGGATTTGTTTTAATTCTAAGCCGACTGCTCTTCATGCATTCAGGGTAATTGGCAATCTCGTCCCAACTACGCTTGATTTAACTCCCCTGTAAATGTTTTGAAGGAGTTGGCTCCGAGTGCAGTCAGAGGTTCCCTTACACTCTGGAGTGGCCGGAGATAAACTTTTGTATCTTGCTGAAAATTATACACACATTTGCAACAATAATACAATATGTGGAATATTAATGGCTTACACTGGAGGGTTTGCAAGAGCGCAATTTGATCTATTTATTTTTGTGTGAGTGTGTTTCTGGGACAACAGAAGTTCATTACTGGAGGATTAGATGTACGCACATTTCAACTTGTTTTTTCTCAATGCAGATTGTGTGCCCTCTCAAAAATACATTTTTCTCATCGGAGCTTTTACAATGTCGTGTTAAAGTGGAAATGAAAAGATGTAAAAAAGAAAAATAACACACAGTTATAGTAAAAGAATGACTTTTTTGTGCATTTGTTATTCACTCCAGCTTAATAGAATTGAAGTTATGTGAATAGAAAGTTCCAAGTGAGTATTTACCTGGATGTGTGACAAAAGATAAACCCCTGGAATCTGAAAACTGATAGCTGAGAGAAAAAAGCAAATGACAAAAGTAAATAAAAGAATGAGAGAAATGGCAGCCATGGCTCTGAGCTATGCCGCTTTCTGGTGGCCTAGTTCCACGGAGAGTTATTGGCAGATCCTGTTTGGCAGACAGAACGTGACTGACGCAGCGCAGATAAACCATCTCAGTAAAAAAAGCTGAAATTCTTGAACACTGCCTGTAAATCACATTTTGTCATTTACTTTTGTGACTGATGTTTTTGCAAAGTACATTACCCTTCGATTCATAAAAAAAAAGGTAGAGTTTAAATCTCTTCTAGCTCTTGACAGACAGGATTCTTCTTGGGTCTTATACATATGAAAGTAGAATGTAAAATTGTGAATGTGAAATTGTAATCAGTGCGTAACCAGAATGTTTGTAGAAAGAAATGAGAGCAGGGAAAAAACAAGACGCATAAAATGAACTGTAGATAAATAACACTGTGAGAGCTGATCAACCCACTGCAGGAAGTCACCAGGAACAACATCGCTGTCTTTCAGAGATCCCACCAGTAAAACGTTGGAATAGAATATCACTACTATAAAAGAAGTCTGTGAGAGTTCAGGTCGAGTCGGTGTCAAAGGCTGTGGCACTTCAGCCACAAGATGATCCTCGTTGGTATTTGGCACTTTTAAAATAAACAGGATTTAAAGGATTACTAATTTGTTCATATTTACTCCTCCACGGATGTAATCATGTTCACAGAATTAATTGACAAATATGAAAATACAGTAACAAAATTCTGTACCATTATCCCGACAAATAATTTAAAAAGGAAAAGAAAGAAAAAGCAAAGTGATACATGAGTGAAAATACTGCATAGTACAAATGCCTGGCAGCCACATTTGTCCTCCCTCTTTTTCACGGTAGAGAGGACCAACAGGGACAGACCACAATGAGACAGACTCATCAGTTTTTAGGATGACCAAGGAAATTATTCACCCAAGGGTATTTCAAAAAGTGACTGTTGGCTGTAGTCCCAAGGACATCACACAGTCCACAGCGTGAGGTCGACCTTTAAGATCAAACTCAAAACAGAGGATGAAATGGAATCCCAAGTGATTTCATATCCTGGAAAGTAACAGAGCGCCGGCCTCTGCGAAAGTCACGCTGTTATTCAGGTTCACTGCTATTTGTAGTCTTGTCCCACTCTATGCTCTCCTCACTGTGTGTGGGGGAGGGAAGAGTTCCGGCTGCCCCGCCTGGGCGCATCCGTAGCCCCTGGAAGCGTCTGCATTCGGGGCAAATGCGGATGTGACTGCAGCCTCTGGCCACCAGTGCTGCCTCAGCAGCCAGTCTGTGGGACAGAGGCTCTGGCAGACCCGTGCCTGCACATAGTTTGCCATTACTGAGGCTGACAGCCGCTGCTCTGGCTCTGCGCTCCTCCAGGGCCAGGGGCCGTGGTCTCAACATGGCCGCTGCCCGCCGCCTCCTCACCTGAAGACTGTCCCGGCACAGAACTATCCCCTGAAGCTCCCGCAGCATTTCCTCACACACCGACTGCTGTGGGCACAAAGACAGACAGACACATGGGGAGAGGGGATAAGAGCAAGAGAGGCCAAGAACACATGTTCTGATGTCATAGGGGCATGTTGTGGTCTTTAATTCAAAAACAAGGGAGGGACCAAACTGATTTTCACAATGGAAATGCAAATATTGGCATGGATATATATATATTTAGCCTCCCCAATCTATGTGTGTCCATCAGATGCTACTTTCAAACCTGAATAATGAGAAATTGGGTTTTAAACTACACATTTTTACACAACCATGTAACAAAAGATGTAATCTTTTTACTTATAACTAAAGCGTAACATGGTTATAGTTACAGCAACAAGAAACATTGATGCTTCCGTTGGAAATAATATCCACATGATCATCCCTGGCAATACAAAGGAGTTACTAAAATAATCCTTCTGCTCAGGTTAAAAACCGTTTTGAATTAATTATTTTAAACCAATGTTGTGTTTCTTTATTGACCCTGATTTAATTGCAAAAATGTATTATCTCTGAATGTATAAAATTACTGTAATTTTATTGAGGACATTTAAGACTTATCATGAGAAAGCAGCTGGAATGAAGGCAATATTATTTATCTTAATATACTGACGACAAGTTTGAGAAATCAGTTGAAATATCTTGAAAGGATCATGTTGAAATTGTCTGTGAAAAGTGTTTTGTTTTCAATCTGCTTGAAATAGAACAGCAGTCAATCGCAGCAGGATCAGAATACCAGACAGTATCAGGCCGTGAGAACAATAGATAATTCTATCACCATGTGTTGTGCAGATTACAAGGTGACGAGCCCCCATCATGTCGGCAGTGGCACAGGGGGGAGCAGGAGACAAAACAGAAGCACATGACACCGCACTCTCTCACCTCATTTCCTGGACTCTGCCTCAACATCCACACAAACTCCAGCACGGCCATGAAGATCGCCACCAGCAAACCACACACCAGCACTACGAAAATACCTCCAATGTTCTCCATCCCCAGACCTGGGCCCGAAAACAGACAGAATGAAGAGAAATGCATAGAACAAAGAAGTCTTTACTGGAACAGATGTGGCGATGGCTGACCTTTGGCGCGGTGGTCCTCCTCTTTGGGACACTTGCCGCCATCCCACCACTTCCTCTTTAGTATCTCCAGGCGGTTGTCCTCCTGCAGCTTAAGGATGGCCAGGTCAAACTCATCGCGGTACACTGACCCTGGAGGAAGAAAGGAGGGGGCTTACAGTGGTCCAGCCTCTCTATCAGCCCACTTTCACATATGGTGCAGATTAGTTCACAATTGCTTCTTTGGAGGAAAAACTACATTCATCTGCTGCACTTGAAGGGATTACAAAGCTTATAGTGGGTTTTCAGCGTTTTACAGGTCATAGTTTGTTCCAGATCAATCTACAAGCAGCTATTCAAATGTCTTGATTCCTCCCCGTCCAAAGTCTACTATAAAAGTGAACATTTGCGTTAATACTATAGTTTTACTCAGTGTAAAGTTCCCTATATCTTGTCCCTGTTTCCCACGTCACTGTTGGCACCATTGTTGCCGTTAAATCTTCAACACTTCACTTACTTTTTGCATCATTTTCTCCCATGGCAGCTAATGGTGGGGCTTTACTTTTCCATTTTATTTTCAATGTGACATTTGAGGTGTTCAGCTAATACCCCAGCTTCCTATTCCCCCGTCTTTACTTCTTTATGAAATATTAAGTGATTTCAGGCTTTTTTACGCTTTCATTTTACTTTTCAGTCCAACTTTTATGGTTTTCCATTTTACTGTCTTCAGTGTTTTCATAAACCTGCCTTGAATGTTAAGTCCTACTTTTCAAACTTTACTTTCAGTTTGTTCCCAGTGAGGGGGGCTTACCCAATGGCATGCCAATGCCGTAGCCCTTGGTATCCAGCAGACCTCCGATCTGTGTGAGGTTGCAGTTTCTCTGGCGGTAGTACTCATTCATAGTGCTCTCCAGCAGATAGGCGTAGTTAGACTTGAGCACCCGAGCTATGCCCTCCTCAGTGCTCTTCACAAACACACTGGGCTGTTTGGAGTGCATGAAGTTCCACATGCGCTGGTATGTCTGGTAACGCGAGTTCTGTGGACACAAATTAACATCATAAATGCATTCATACATGCACACGCACACACACATGTACAGTACATACACACTTACAAAACATCTTCTCCTTTAATTTTCATAAAATAATCCGTAAAAAGTATTGTGCTACTTTTCTTTGACAAGGTCTTGACAGGTTTCAATCTTTATTTAAGACCTCACATGTTTCTTTGCCTGTCTGCCCTGAAATACCTCATGTCCATGTGTGGAGCACTATGCACAGAGCAGACCTCCCTTTTTCTTAGCTCCATTTTGTGTGTAACACTAACAGCTTCTCGGACGTTTGGTGCTATACCTCCATAGTCAAATCTCCAGGAGTGTGTTTGTGTGTGTGTGTGACCTGCAATGCCACATTTCCCTGAGGAGAGTGATATTGAATGGCCGTGGAAAAGAGCGGACAGAAAACAGATAAAACCTGTGGTTAAAGGAAGACCAGCGGAAGGACAGGGAGGTGATGTGCACGATAACATTACTGATGGCTCATTGATCACAGCTGCCTCTGAGGTGAGTGTGTGCATGTGTGCCTTTGATTTCACACTATTAACTAAACAATCCATCATATGCAAAAGGCCAGTGGCCTCTGACCTGGAAGAAGGTCATCGTGGAGCCTCCATGCATGGTGCCATACTCGATAGCAGTTTGGTCTGCCAAGTCATCCACTGACTCGATGGGCACCTCCATTCTCTGCACAGTCAGGAACGCAGCCAAGTTGGCCGTATATGATGAGATTATGATTAATGTGAAAGCCCACCTGTGGAGCAAAGGTACATATGTATTCATTGAGAAAATAACATGCAAATGGGACAGCAGATTAATGAAGAGCGATGCCATAGGCAAAGGGAGGATGATTTAAATGTATGAGGCTGTGCACCTGTGATCACAAGAAGCTCAGTCAAAGGGATGGATGGATCAATGAAGACGATGTGACAATGTCTTGCATATAATGTGACCAAGGGTCATGCTAAGAAAAGTACACATTTAAACACACATCCATTATTCTGCATTAGAATGATACATTGTGAGAGGCACATTAATATAAGATAACTTGCCCTGTGCTAGTTTTCTAAAATGTTGCAAAATATGTATTCTACATTGGAGACCATGCACCAACTGACTTCACTAGGCTAAAGTCCACTCTCTATCTGTAATTTTAATACCAAAGCCTTACACTCTCAATGACAACAAGCAAGAGGCAGACCCCACCAGAAAAGGTGCATAGTGAACCTTTGAATAACGTTAGAGCATAAATAAGGTTGATAAATCAGTATTGAAGTCATCTTCTCAAATGGATCCATAGTACAAATGTAACAAAAACAAACATCTCATTGGATTCTAGACATAATGGATACTTTCATTTCTTCAATAGTAAATACTGACCACACTCCGCTGACGCAGCGCGTGGACAGAGCCCGAGGGGCGATGGTGGAGCCCTGCTGCATGAAGCCCCCCACAGGAAACCAGAAGCTGTTCCCCAGAGAGTACTGGTTTATGAGCAGGCTGCAGCGGCCCTTCAGACACGGGTGTGGGTTGTACCATTCATAAGGCGTTAATCTGCACACAACACAGCTCGGATTAACATGAAGGAAGAACAAGTGTAAGCAAAAGCTAAATGAGGCATTCTGACGGGACCAAAGTGAATGAGAAGAACACGGTCACCTGGGCTTGAGAGACATGCACTAGTTCAGCTGAGCTCCCACTGACACCAAAGCCAGGACAAAAATAATGCATTTGTATCATTTATTCCATGATAGAGATGCTCACCCTTAATCACAGACTTATAGAAAATAAAAATAAATGTAGAACTACTTTAAAAACAGTAATAGAGTAGAGGGGTATGGTCCTACAGGTTTTGGCCAGTGTGTTGTGTGTCTCTCTCTGTGTCGTCTCTGTGTGTGTGCGTGCGCGTGGGTGTGTATTGAATTGAGTGAGAGGGATTGGAGCCAACCATTGTCCGACCACTTATCAAACTTTCAACAACAGTTAAGTTGTTGTTTTTGAATGTATAAACAGCTTTAAAATCAATGTGTAAAGAAAATAAAGTGTTTAAGAAAAGTGTCTTAAATGCAGTTTGGAGCATCCCCATGTCTGAATTAACCAACAAAACAGCTTCTTTCAAAACCCAACCGCTGGTAAATGAATAAACAGAACAACAGGAGAGCGCACTGCAACACACGACATAAATGAGCTTCCCGTCTGTTGTGATTCTCTATGACGGCAGCAGGTGGCAGTGTGGTGCTGAGACACACTTCTGGGACTTGAATGTGAAAGGCAAACATGGATACAGAGCAAGAAGCAACACCTGAATCTGCTTTCATGTGGCTTCACTAAAGAACTCCCCCCCATTTTTTTTTCTTCTGTTACAGGGCACAAAAGCTCTGTACCTGGCCACGAGAAATAACACGCAGCTGACAGCCAAGTAGGCCAAGAGCATGAAGAGCCACACTCCCGGGGAAAAGGGATCCAAGAAGGAAAAGTATCCTGGCCTTCGCCCCTGGAAAACACAGACAATAAAAGAGATTAGCAAAAATGTAATCACAAGTCAACACATCACAATCAGACTTTTGCTGTAAAGGAGTAAAGGAGAGGATAAGCGTTGGATTTAGGTTATAGAAGTTAATTTCCATTTTCTAACATCTGTGCAATTAGGATTAATTCAAGAGAAGATTTTGCTGAATCGGTAGTTTGACGCCTTTGCCCGCAGCTCTGTTGGAAGAAGTATTTAAGCAACACTGAGTGCTGCCTGTGTAATTTAGAAAGAGATAAAAAAGGTGACTGGGACAATAAATAAAGGGATTTTGACGTGATTGCAGGCATCTCTGTCCTACACGATAAGACCATAATTATCAGAACCTCATTTGCATGTAAACATTGCGCTATACGAAAAACCAGTCTTCCGTAAAATGTCAACAGGCTGGCTACATTTCGATAACACCATCACAGATAAGAACTATATTTTCCAAATGATGGCTTCAAATTAAGTTTATCTATGTATGATGGCTATTTGCTTTCACAGTAGGAGGCCAAACAGCTCCCAGTCCACAGCTCACAACACAAATCATAAGACCGAGCCATCAGCTGAACCATTACGGCGACAATAAAACTAATTTAATTTCTGTGACCTATAGTTGACTTACTGTTTGACTACGAGCACATTGTTTTCTGATCCGGGGGAGAAAAAGAGAAGAGAGATTAGTAGCTTAGGCACAGACCAAAAGGCTGGCTGTGGGATGCTGGTGTGTTTGGATCACTAACCAGTGGTGGAGAAGATAAAGTGGCAGAAATCAAGCTGGCAGCATCAGGGCCAATGGGAATATAGAGGCTAATTCAAAGTGTTTTATTATACAGCCTCACAGCTATTGTCTTCCAAATGAAACCGATTACTAGTGAAGCTGTGCAAACTTATATTACAGTGTTTATCTTTGTGTGTTGCATAAAGGTTATACAGGTGAAACTCCGGAAATGAGAAAATTGTTTAAACTTGTGAATCAACTTACAATGTGAAACTAATATATGACACTCATTACATGCAAATAGGGATAAGTCAAGCTATTATTTTATATAACGTTGATAATTAGCTCAGAGCTGAAATAACTTACTAAAAAAATATGGCTTACAGTCAGTGACAATAAGCCATAATCATCAAAATTATAGCAACAAATCCTTGGCATATGTCACTTTGCATGTAATGAGTCTATATCAGGGGTGTCCAAATCTTTTTGTCAGAGGACCACTTTAGTTCATCAGACTTGTCCAGGGGCCGACAACATTATTGTTAATCTATCCTGGGCTTTAAAATGAGGTATGATACAGTATGTCCATAATGATTCACACCGCAGCTACATTTGAGCCATATATGGAATATTGTGACGCTATCAAAAACAAATGTGCAAACAAATATGCAAATAAAGTTGAGAAATGGATTCTATAGAGTTGTGTAAGCGGCAAGTGGCGACATAAAAAGACAGAAGAAAGAAGTGAATAACAGAATACATCAGACAAGTAACTTTTCACATTCATTAATAAGAAACTGGATTTCAATTCTTCATGGCCTCACCTGAACATAGCCAAATGACTTTTATGCAAAACGCTCAATTAGACACTCGTGGGGGACTGGGGGACTGTGTGCATGCCAAAACACTCTTGTAATACATTTTGGAAGAACATTAAATTTGTGGCGAGAGGGTGAAATTATTTTGGTGGGCAATTGTTACGATAAAGAAAGTCCCTTGACACTGAAATTTCATTAACTTGACACTATAGCCTGAAGGGGCAGGAGAATGGATTGAGTGTATGAAAAGAGTGAGTTTGTGTCAATACGTCGATGTCTATTCCCGTGTATGAAGCTGGTTAGACGTTTAAATGCATGGAGCAGTGGTGCAGTGAACCATTCCAAATAACCATCACAGAACACTGCAAGGCTTAGAGAAGGTTTTGATGGTTGAGTAACTGGGAAAAACAATATGTGCTGTGATGAGCTCTCCTGATTCCCAGTCCAGTTTGGTGAATGCAATAGCAGCGATTTGTGAGCAGTTTATTCCAATTTTCCACGTTTGAACTTCTTGCCAAGATCCTACTACCTAAATGTGTGTGGAGGTCCCGTGCTATAGGCTGCTTAAGGGTAAACACCAGTGAAGTTAACACTTATCTCCCGGAACTAAGAAACTACTAGAAATCCCACAGCCGTAATTTTGACTGCTCCCATTCAAACCAATGGAATTCCGAGAAATTCCCCCTAAAAAGTAAAAAAGTAAAAGCTAAAACTGGTGCTTATAACTTGAAATACAGCAAAAACAGTTTGTTGAAGCTAACAAATGCTATCTGCTGGCTAGTAAAGAGTGCGTTGCTATGGTAACTAACTGCTCACGTTGAAAATATAAAAGATAATTTCATAAAAAAGAACAATGCAGAAATGAACTGCACAGAAACAGATCACATCACAAAGTTATGAAGACCAAACATGTACATACACGGAGTAACTTCATTTCCAAAACTAAAAGCCGTCATATTGACTGCTCTGGGAGTTCTAGTGTTAAATAATAAGGACAAATTTAAAGCTGAGGTATCTAATGTTATTTTTTCATGAATGATACAGAAATCCGACCATATGATGCTTTAGCTTGCACACTTGTAAGACAGTGATACAGTAAGTGAGTATTAAGTATGGCAGAACTCTAGACTTAAAAATAATATCAAATATTCATCTTTAGCTTAACAAACCTCAAAATACTAACATATGAAGTAAAAGCTGTATACTTTAGCACAAAGAAAGATATACTTATATGTATCAGTAATACAGTTAAGTAAGGGGTTTGGGCTGAGAGCTGATTGGCTGAGTGAGGGTGCTCCTTTCTTTTTCACTTTTCTGTCTGAAAAATATGAACTAAATATGTGAAAGAGGCCAAAGATACATGTGAAACACAGAAAATTAGTTCAATTGATCACAGCTCTAAAAATTCCAAATGTTTCTCAGAAAATGTGAATATTTTTAAAATGGATAATCATCAAAAAGACAACAAAGGCTTGAATGTAATGAGTCTATATCATATATTAGATTCACAATATAATTTCAGGTATTGATCCACTTTTGAGCAGTATATTCTCATTTCTAGCGTTTCATGAGGTTGGAAAGTGGAGTACCGCAGCTTTAAGACATTTAAAGTACACCAACTGTGAAGTATGATGCAATCCTAATTTTACTTTTGTATTCAAACTTTGAAACAGTTCAAGCTGAAAAAATTATCTGTGGTGGGTCTGGAGCGTGGAAGCTAATGAGCACATTGAGATTCAAGGAAGTCTGAAAGGAAACGGTGAACACATACGCAAAAAATAGCACCGGGTACTTCATATTTATTCAGCAAACACATAACATTGGGTAATAAAAAAAGGCTGTCTTTAAGGATGCACAAAGGAAACACAATATCCGGGTGAATTTACAAGCGTCTGTTGTTTCATAATCTACGTTTCCAGACACTCTCCAATAGTAAACAACACAATAGTGACTTCCATTTTTACCGCAGGGAGCAGAAGTTAAAGGAGAAGTGCGTTTACCATGACACACTCCGGAGTCAGCACTGTAATTAAAAGTTCAGTGTCAAAGCCGATATTAATAACACCTGAGAAAATATTAACAAAAGAGCACTTATCAATGACAAATTGATGTCTGAATGTAATTAATTATCCTACAGGTGCTGTCGAGACAAATGTTGTTTAAACAGCCAATTGGAAATGGCTCACTTCACTCTGTATTCACCTGCGCACGGATGTTTGTGCCGGCAGCTGTCAGGGCTGTCACTCATCTAAATGGGGGTGCAAACAGAACGTGCCCGGGCAAACTGGTGTAACCCTATGGCCCAGATGGTAAACAGTCAGAGCTTTATTATATTACAGCGCAAGTCCTTCGGCAGGCACGGCTAATGTGCTCATTTACCACCTACTGTAAGTCGGAGATGATTCCTGAAACACATTTATTGTTTTGTATTTTTGTGAATGCACTGACAAGGCTTGACTCTAAAGGCAGGTGTCTCCAACCTTTTTCACTCGGAGAGCTACTTTCCAGGAACAATAAAGGCAGCTAGCTACTCCTTTAAAGATGCAGTCAGTGATTTTTTCCAGACGCATTTTTCGTTAAATATTGTGGGAAAATGTCCCTAAACCCTAAAAGTACTGAAGTTATTATGTGTTTCAAATAGTAATGGAATTGACCAGATGCCTATAGTCTCCAAAAATGTATAAAAAATATTTTGGAGCGGACCAATAAAAATAAACCAGAGGTGTCCAAACCGGTTCAGAAAGGGCCGCTGTGGCTACAGGTTTTCCATCAGACCCAGCAGGAGCAGAGCAGACTCCTCCCATTTCCTCAAATCTTCAGGTTAAGACTGAATTTATTTGAGGAAGTGGGTGGAGTCCGTGTACCCCCCTTCACCCTCTTCCTGTTTCTCGCGAGTGCGCGCACCTGAGTTATCGGACTTTTTTAAAACCTAAAGGGTCTGAACATAAAATGTCAATTTCACACTCTCCATGTTGTGACAAAGAAAAGAAAATGCTGGATGTTTGTTTTGGTGCTGGAGAGGCGAGAGGGGAGTGGTTTCGAGTTGGTGCTACGGCTAAGGTAACGAAATCGCTTACTGCACCTTTAAGCGGCCCTGGGAAAAGTTTGGTGATATATTGGTGTGAATGAGCCTGATATCGGGTAAAGCCATTATTCATCATTCCATATTTGTTACTAGTGCACTAAGTAAGTTTGCATTTACAATAATAAATAATGATAATGAATAATACAATCTGAAATATTAAGTGTATTATTTGATTTGTTCATTTCTAAATCCTTGGGCGAGCTACCTGGAAGGGGCTGGCGAGCAACTGTGGCTCCCAAGCAGCAAGTTGGAGACCTCTGCTCTAGGGAGTATAGTTGTATTTATTTTGATCTCTATGAGCTGTTTAATTGCAAATACAAATTCATCAATTCAACAACTACCCAAAGACATTCATTTGAGAATAGTCCTGGACTCCAGCACCAAAGGGAAACCTGTACATTTTTAGCTCATACTTTACATTTCTTATTTTTCTTCATAAATATAACATTTTCTTTGTCCCAACGGAGAGCGGAGTAAAAGTGAAAGAAAACATGTAATCTTTTGAACACTAAGCCCTGTCACTATTTGATGTTTTTGGCTTTTTGTTTTGAGAGTGATGAACCAGTTAGTTGGATTGCTTTTTACATAGTTCCATTTTTGTGGCTTGAAAGATAAATACATCTGCTTCAAACATTATAATTCGACAGTCAAACCCAAAAACCACGTTCTTAGCGCCTTGCTTGTAACCTTATATTTCAACATTATGAATGAGTTTTAATATTCAAACATGAATGATCAATACTCTTTGACATTATAACAAAATGAGGTTCACATACTACCTTGCCTCTGTGTCTCTGTCTCTATAAGAAAAGGGACTAAAAATAGCAGAACGGGGTTACAGCTCCTCAGACAATCTACAGACAATGCCTTTATAAGTCGCTGAAAATCTTGTTTTATGGAGCTCATCGTTGCATTATGATGATAAGAGAGCATTTGCAATTGAAACGACATGCAGAACATAGCCTCAGTCCATGTCTGAAACATCCTTAATGATCCCATTTACAAGGACATTTACGACGATAACAGAATAGTGTGCAATCGATGGCCATTATAAACATGGCCTCACCCTCTTAGCCAGTGCATAAGGATCTCCCTGGCTCCCACTCCACAACATCCTGCATTGTCCTTGCCTCCTTCATTGGTAAATCTGAGGGGAGTGTGAATGCTGCAACTATGGCAGGAAGAGCTGTTGAGGTTATCCAGTCCAGGATTTTACCTAGTCATAGAGGTACTTTGTATTCAAAACACACATGTGCCCCCTGGGGCTGCCTGTCAGTATACTGAACTTACTGAAGGAGACTTTCCATTGTCATTTTCACTCTATTTGCTACACAGCCTCTTCTCACACTTGGTTTTAAGTTTACAATATTATATGAGCATCTTACTCAAGTAATATCAGTTGTAATTGTATCTTGTGGATGCTTGCATTTGTTGTGATAATTGTAAGGGTATATTTCAGAGAGCACTGGATTGGTCCACGGTCGTGAGGTCACATTGACACAACTGTAGTGTCTGGCACCTGTGCTGCTGGCTGCTAAAGACTATGTGAAGGTGCATATAGAGAGGGCAATGAGCTTGTACTTGTGTCCAGAAAGTCAATAAAGCTCTGTGTGCTGCGTTGCAGCCTGCGGCCAGCTGTTGAATTTGACACGGCTTACAACTCTAATTAACTCCAGAGCCTAATTAAGCACCCCTCCCTCCGTAATAGTGTGCCATACATTTGATTTACTGAGCAATATGTTTAACACATGGAAATGGTCAAATGTAATCGACCTGAAAGAAAGAGGATGGTTTTTCTGAACATTGGGTTATACAAATAGGAAATCACAACAATCACAACAGCAAGAACAGACATAGCTCTTTTGGCGTGCGTTGTTTGATTCAAAATCCAAATTATTCATATGACCCCAAGCCTGCGTGTCGCAGTGGGCTTTACGTACCTCATTCAAAGTAGTAGTTCTGCCAAGAATGTGCAAGGAGCATGTTCCTTTACAGTGAAGCAGGCAGGCAGGCACACTGCACGACTGACACAGTTAGGGCTGGTCTTTTGCTGACAAGCTGCAAGCTCAATGTGATTTGTTCCCATATTTTTCATTTCAGTCATATGCCCTAGAAAGTCTCCGAAAGAGTAAACAAGGCGGCGCTGATTCCTCCAGAGAATCACTACACTGTTTCTGCAAAAACTGTCACACGTCTGGCAGTATCAATGATGAAGTGCAGAATTTGTTTTATTACATTGTGTGTGTTATATGGAAAACATTTATTTTTCTTCTACTTGACATAATCTTAAATTGTTCTGAGGTCCTTTCAATCAAAAGTGCATTTTTCACGCTTGTGTAGTTATGTAGTCAACAGCACACACGAGCCGAGACAGAGTGGAGAAATACAGCTAAACAAAAGCCAGCCACAGTGTGGGTAATTAATACCCACCTGACTCCTTTGCTTGAAGACAATCTCCATTCCCATTGATCAGACTGAATTTTTCATTTAAAGTTTGGAATAAACACCAAAGCCCCTTGTCGTGTCACAAATCAATGATCAGTAGAACAGAACTAAACGAATGCAGTCACATAAATGTATTATTGAATTGTGGAACTATGCGTCATCAGAAAAGCATACACAAACTGAACTGGAGGAAATGGGAGAGAAGTGACCGCAGATTATTTGTTACATTGTTATAGTTTCATCTTATAAAACTCTTCACAGCTCAGTGGCTGCGTGGCCTGCGTTTATACAGAGTATTTTTTAAAAGTCCCGGAACACTTCCCAAACTGCCCTCGCTCTGCCTTCAACTCGATGGCCCTCCCGCTATTCCATTTACCACTGCACCTGCTGCAAGTATTGATCCGTTTAGTCCCACTGTTGGCATTCAAGTGGGTCCTTTTCTACAATCCCTATTAGCACAGAGCAGCTCACGCAGAGATATTTGAAAGAATTTTGAAGGCCAATACCATATGTGAGTAAATGTTGTTTGAAATAGAATGTTTGAGCCTGTGCCAAGATGGGACACGGGCAGTGCAATAGTCCGCCCCAGTGTCACCTTGACTTTTGGGGCAGGACTGATGATTAATGGAGCTGCAGGTTTCCAAATAGTTGCTCGTTTCCCCCAACACTGCACTGCGTACCACTGTGTCAGAGCAAGGGGGGAAAAGTGAAGAGGACCGAATCAGAGGGCGAGCGAGAGAATCTTCAAAAGTGCTTCATTCATCAGGGGGGGACGCACAGTAAAACGCCATCTGCTGCTGACCGAACGGGGGGTCTAAAGAGGTGGGGGGAAGGGAAGGGAAGTGTTGGATGCAGACATTGTGTAGAGAGAAAACGAATGGTGACCGTATATTGTATTCTACATGCATGGAGGGAAAATGGGAAAAGCTCAGAGCTACTGTAAAGCAGCGATAATGTTCAGGGGACGTGGGGTTTGTGGATGGATTTATATAGCCTCAATCCGGAGACTACACGGGGTCCAAAAAACAAAAAAACAAAACAGAAAGTGGGTCTTTATCCAGCTGTTAGACAAGGCTGAGCGCGGGCTGTGAAGGGGGTGCTGGTGCCGAGTGGAATGCGGGGTGGAACTCACCAGGTGGACTCGGTACATGATGCTGATGCCCAGGGTCATGAAGGGTTTGGAAAAGTCGACGACCTTCTCCCGCTCTGCTGTGATTGTCAACCCGGCCAATGCTAAATCCGCTTTCTGCAATCAGAAGTAAACGTTACATCAGTCACAGTCATACAGTACACAGTCATGCTTTGAAGTTTACATTCTCAGGGCAGAAATGTTTTGTTTGGGCGGCATTTGGTAGACTAGGAATAATGATAATGCACTTTTTTTTCACTCATTATTAGTGGTTGTGTGAAGTCATTGTCCTTATAGCTGGGACTAAATTCACGTGGGCTACCCAGAAAAATGTCCAATAGAACTCAATGTAGACCAAAACATATTGACCTCAGCTGACAGAGAACCTACAGCTTTCATTTACTTTATTTCTTGTTAAATCCATTGGTTTTCTATAAAACCACACTTTAGTGCAAAAAACTCTGCTCGTCTCGAGCTCTAGCTCCAGCTCTGATCACCAGCTGCTGATTGGTCAGAATGCTGCAGTGCTCCTCTGTACATGTGCATGAGAGCCACGAACGCGTGCTTGTTAGTATTTGCCGCAAAGCATCATGGGAGCTCCGCTAATCTTTCGGTGTCTTTGCCACTAAGCACAAACCATTGATTTGAATAAGCCGCCATCTTGGATCACCAGGGCTTGGTATTGCCCCTTTAACATCGACAGCAGCCTGGAGTCTTTTGTGGTAGTTGTGGATGAGCTTCTTCATCCTCTCTGATGGTAAAGCTGCCCATTCTTCTTGGCAAAGAGGGTCCACTTATTGTAAATTCCTGGGCCACTATGTATAACTGCAGGATTTGATTTTAATAGGTGTCTGAATAAGTAAGTACAAATACACAATTGACCTCTTCACAAACCTCTCACTAATGTCTATCTTAAATACTATCATGTTCTTCTTCTTTGCACCATATACCTAAGCAAATTCCTAGTTTGGGACTTCCCGTTACTGTGGTAAACAAAATTCAGATTCTTATTGTGATCACCAAAATATGGCCAAAACAATGATTTCAAACTTTCAAGCAAAACTGTATATAGTCAAAGTCATTACTTAAAGTACCTGGACATAAGATAAGGGTAAGAACAAAGCCCCATTGTCTGGTATTGGTCTATAATCACAAACGTGTCCTACAGCCGTTCTTGTCTGCCAATAGCTCTATCAGGACAGAGGATAATCCAGCACGGACACTTAGAGCAAGAGTGTGGGCATGAGAGGCTATAGCCGGTGTAGCTAGCCAAGGGAACAGTGTTATGACAAATCACTTGACAAAGCAGAGGCGGGTGAAACACACACTTTGAGACACACTGGTCAGTAGATGCTGAATATGGGGTGGATCCACACTAATAATACAGGCCAGTAAAGTGCGACTGCAAGGGATTTTTTCACTCCCAAAAGAGCAGGGAGTTAAAGAAGCTATGCATCGTTTTTTTTCTTTTTTTGTCCTGTGCGGAGTTAAGAGGATTGTGGGAAACAGAGGAAAAAGGAAGTGTGTGTGCGTGTGTGTGTGTGAGTGTAAGTGTGTGTGTGTGTGTGTGCGTGAGAGGGTACAATTCAAAATTCCCAAGAGCCCCAAAGGTTTTCAACTCAGGGAAGTGGAGGGAGACATACGACATTCATGAAGGCACAGCTGACTACCAAAGATGTGAGTCACCATTGATCTCTTGTTTTGACAATTATCTCCAACTTCAGAATGCTTCCCAGTGTGTCCCCAACGCCTCATTACGGCAGAGTCCCCCGTTTCCATTAGCAGTCACGTTCTTGCCTTTAACCTCACTCTGTCCTCGGGCTTCGGCTTTGACTCTCACCATCAGTCGTCTCTGGCCTTGTCTGCATCTTTCATGCTTCTCCCTGTCCTTTGAAAGTCTGATCGCTCGCTGCCGCCGCCGCCGATAGCAAACCGTGCTAGGGGAGCGGCCGTTCAGGCGGTTCTAACAAAAATGTCAGTGAATCTTTGAAAAATAAACTTTGCGCTGCAGTAGCAAATAAAATATTTATGTGACAATAGAATATTAATATTGATTACTGATGTCTCTTGCTGCACTGTGCCTTGAGCTAGAATTGAATAAACTGCACAATGGGGGAAGGTCAATTCAGTCACTTTCCTATAGACAAACAAAAACACAACAAAGGAGACATGTATAATGAAAACATTTTCATCACGCTAATATCAGGAACTTATGGCGCAAACATGTAACTCCTCCACCCCTTCTGTCTAGAAGATCCTGCCTCAGTCTTGTATTCGTACTGTAGGTCAATGTTGGACTCATAGCAGATAATATAATCTATGTTCTGTCTTTGTGTTCATCGTTTGTCACTCTCAGAACTATATTTTATGCTACGCTTATTTAAGTTGGAGAGGGGTTAACCTCAGAGCTTGAGTGTGTATTTTTGTATCAAAGAAATGTTACGCAGAAGTTGTACTTTCCCATGTCGATGCTTACAGGCGGTAATTTTTTAATCTTGAAAAAAAGCAAAAATAAAACTGTGGTAATAGGGTTTTTTTTATTTTTTTTATATTTATTTGAGATAAAAATATGATGAAAGAAATATCAAAAGTAAAACAATAATATCCCTATGCCGTTTTATTTTTGCTTTTTTCCAAAAGGACAGTCCCATTATAATTTAAGGCCACAATTAAAATTCCTTCTTTAAATACAAATAGAATCTGACTTTGGCTTTATTATTAAGGATATCATCAACATGCAAAACAGAAAGTGGACTTGATTATAGCTGATTAGTTTTAAAATGACTGTGAGCTGATTGGTATTCAAAATGGTGTTGAAATCAAGTTTATTATTGCTCTATTTTGACAATATAAAAGATTGGCCTTGACAACATTCAGGAGATAGTTGTGAAGGAAAAGTCTGGTGCCTAATGTGTGGTCTTTGGCAGAACTGACTCATTGTTTGACAGGCATCAAACTAATCGGGCCGAACAGTGGAAGTGGGTTCAGCCTGACCGGTCCTGGCAGGGACACAGGTAACTGTTGTTGGAGAGCAGCTCTGAATGGGGATGTTATACAGCTTCTATGGGATCATATTTATGTCTGCTTGGCAAGTGCTGGAGGACGATCTCACTGTTTCCCCCTTTTTAAAAAGTTGAGCTTATAAAACCCGACCTTGCTTTTGACAATTTGTGATCAAAGGATGTCAAAAAGACTACAGCTAACTTCACAAATGAATAGCAGTGGGACTTGAGATTGTCTTGACTTTTTTATTTTTTATGAACATCTTGACTTAATGTTTAGTCTGCAGAAGGTGGAGAAATGTATTTGTACATGGGGTGGGAGTATATTCTCTCAGTACGAGTACTTCAGTACGAGCTAATAAATAATAAAATAATAATCTTACACAAATAGACAAATAGTGAAACTATGTTAAATGCTTTTCTGCTTCTATAAGTGATGCATGCGTGTGTGTGTGTACAGTATGTATTGTAGTGTATGCGCAGCAGATAATACATAATGTAACTAATATGAGTACAATGTCCAAGATCAAAGAAATTTAAAGATTGTAAACTACTGATGTAAAAATGTCTGAATGAATGAATGCATCAATCAAACCAGTATTTACAAAAATGTATTTTACAGTAACATCAATCCATAAGATTAATTAAAAACTCATAGCCATGCATTTATTTTGGGTGCAATATTATTTACGTAACCTTTCCCATGCTGAACCCTTGTAAGAAGTTTATAATGATAATAGAAATCAGTGGTATTCAAACATTCTTTCCAAGACAGAGAACCTAATGAAGTCTAAAGTGTATTGTATACACTCATATTGGCACTTATGGATTATACGCAATTTGTTTATGTTTGAACAAATGTAAATTGATTTTAGAAATGTCATGTTTCTATGGCTTGTCCCTTCATGTAGCCTCATACAAACACATTATAGTACAGACGTGCACTTGTCTCCCTCTTCATGATAAATCTGTCTGTAGCATGTTTCGACACCTGCTTTGGCCCTTTGCACTCGCCTGACAGTTTCCAGCTCTAGGTGTTCTCATGAATATAAGAACGTTAGATCTGAGTATTGTGTACTTTGAAGGTGAGCTCGGTCCATTTCAATAACATTCTGCTTTAACTGCACTCTGAAAAACCAGTGAAGAAAGACACTTATTATTATTACGGTTCAAGTTTTCACATTTCACCAATGATCTTGTTGTTGACAACTGCATGCCACTGATAAACAGATCTGAAATTGAACAAGAAACTTGTTAATTTCCGAAGTGCTGTTAAGGTTATTTTGAGGTCCAGTGAAATGGCTAAGCCTGCCATGACCGTTAGAAAAACACAAGTGTAAGCTTGAGGCCATCTGCCAAATGAAACCTGTTCTGACATAAATAAGTCCAGCCGGCTGTTACAGTGCACGGGAAATACCTGAGTTTGTGGAAGGAATACTAAAGTCAGTGCCATGGCCACTGGTTTCCTAGGGCCACTTAGGAGTCTAAGATTCCAAGAATGCACAGCTAAGCTATTTCAGATTGTGCATGGAGACATGTTGTTTAATCCTATGTACATAGACGGACAATGCTTGGATGCTAGGTTGCCACCAATGAATTTGGCTCCAGATTTCCGCCCATGGAGCCTTTTTAATTTAGCTCTAATTGTCTTCTTCCTGCACTCGGTCAGTCCACTCCTTCTTCAGTCTATGGTTTAGACTGTACATTATCATTACATTCAGTAATTGACCTACCCTTGAAATGAGTTCTCCAACCATGCCGGTCCACGTGCCGTTGGCCCCTGGGACTCCGTACAGCCCATCCCCGACCAAACGAATGCGATATTTGAACTTGAGGATTTCTGCCAGCTCCTTCAGCATGTCCACACAGAAGCCTTCATACCGGTCATTCCCCTCCAACTCCTGGTGGTTTTTCCGTAACATCACATATGGATTTTCCTGTAAAACACAGTTTAAAATAAAACATATTCTATTTACTCTATGAAAATGTGTGAAAATAAATAGGTGGTTTCAGACAAGCGCATGACAAATCTGTCCTCATTCATGTTCTTTTAGTGAATTTTAGATTCTAACTTGTTCTAGACACATTTATCTAATCTGTTCTAGATAATTGACTGTTAATTAATCTGAGGCAGGGGTTTCAATCCTTCCTCACACAGAGAACTACTATCTCGAGACAAAATTTCAAAGAGCTACTCCTTTTAAACGTCTGGGTAAATATATTCAATTTAATGGGGAAGGCCTTAGATGGAGGTACTTGCACAGTCCTTATATATCATTTATTACAAGGTTAGTATACATTTACAATAGTTGTGGCCATTTGAATTGGCATAATCAACAAATGTAGGTCATTTCTAAATCCTTTGGGGAGCTACTAGGAAAAGGGTGGCGAGCTACTGGTTGGAGACCCTGACCTGAGGAATAGCCGTAGATGACGAATCTGCAGCTGAGAGTGCTCTATATGGCATTCATTTCAGAGATGGTTCATACAAATGTGACTTTTTTTTAAAGGACAAAGCGAGAAAAACAGCCCCGCACGATCATTCAAAGTCAAAGTTCATTGCTGCTTTGTGGATTTACAGATGGAGATTTGTGGTCATAAAAAGCACAAAAGCACATCCTGCTAAAACGAGACAAAGTCAACAGCTATTTGGCATCAAGATTACAAACAGACACACCTTTTTATAACCTTCTTTTCGCAAAGCACTTTCTGTTGAATTGTTTTATTTACGCCTCTGTGCACCTTTTAGATCATGTGGAGAGATTTACAGAGGCCTATTGCGATGTTTTGGGAGAGTTCTTATTGGACCATTTTTCAAATAATCCAACTGTCAGAGGAGGCTGTCTGGGCGTCGTATATCACATAAAACAGCGTTGTGTGAAGTGTGAAGAGACTCTATCTGTTCCGCTGCATATAATTAAGTCAAAGTAATTCCTAGTGCCATAATCTTAAGGGTGATAAACGGCATGTCCCTTCTGTCTTTGTCATCACAAACAAGCTCCAAAAGCGCACAGATTTTTTCTTGCGTGCAAAACTGTGTCATTCTGCCCCAAAGAACCAATGTCACTCTCGCCACAATATTGCACCTAACAAGTTGTTGAGTTATTTTTTCGTGTTGTAGGACATTTTCAGAGGTGAAACACATCTTCAAATGGTTTTGTCACTGCCACATAGCGCTATTTTTGCTTACAGCCTGGCAACGCTGGAATTGAACTCGAGACAAAAATAGCAGCTACGCCAAATTACGGGATGTTTATGAAGTTGAGGCATGTCAAGCAAAGACATGCCTGTGTGACAAACCGCTGCCATGGAGACACAAGAACTATATCTGTGGGCTTGTGTGATTTATACAATTTCTCTCTGGATGGTATTGACCCAAAAAATACATTCGGGGCCACACGACCAAACAGTGCAATTATTGGTGTAGTGGTAAGCAGCAGCCTGTCAATGAATCAAAGAGTCCATTGTAGATAATAATTCAATTATGTAATGCCTAAGTGCAATGTTTTTAATTACTATTCTAGCAAACAAAACAAACACATGAACGTTCGGTAATTTTTCCCTGAAGCTTGAGTAGCCAACTTTGAAACCACAAAAAAATAACTATGTCATAAATCCATGTAGCTCCTTGTTCTCTTCATAGTTTGGATCAAGCGCTAATTGTTAAATGCACATATTTCTTTGCCTCTGTCACACATGGAAAAAGAGTGAGGGTGGTCCTCCACCCTCACTCAGCCAATCAGCACTCAGCATGTCAAAATATAAACCCTATTTATTTGTTTGTAATAGAATCAAGACCAGCTAAATTTCACCTGACAATCTGGCAACCCACTAATCTGTCAAATCCACTGATTTGCACAAGTGACCTGTTATCTGAGGACATATAAAACAAAGTACAGGCTGGTGCTATGTGTACTGGGTGCAGCTCTGACTGCCACCTCCCAACCCAGAAATGGATTAAGGGGAAGAAAATGGATGGATGGACATATGACAAAGTCAGATGTTATTTATAATGAAAATGTTACATACGGTTCCTTTAAATAAGACTATTTCTGGTGGGACAAACAACATGTATTTGTGAAAGGTTACTCCAGCACTACAATAAAACAGCCATCTTTAAATAGATAGTACTGTATATGTGTATATAAAATTCCTTTATTTCTAAATATTTGCCGCTTACTCCGATGTCAAAGCACCTCCTACAACAAACATCTGCGTGTGTTCATCGGCTTGTTCTACATCTCCTCCTGCTCCATCATGACACTTCCTCAGCGCTCATGTTGCACTGTGCATAAGCCACAATATAAATGCTAATTTCATAGCTCACAGGTCGCTGGAGCTCTCCTTTGTGCGCACCTCCAGTCAAGCCAAACTGGACCAGACGTTTCCTCCAATATACACTACATTATTACATGCAGTGACACAGAGACCGCATGGAGCTGCAGTTGACATGAAGAAAGTGTCAAATCCCCAAATCAGCAAATAGTGCTCAAAACCCTCATAATTAAAAGGGAATTCTTTGTTAAAAAGGCACAAAAAGTAGAATTTCTACATTTCCATTTCTGGCAAGCGCCAAAACAGTAAAAACCAACGGCACCAAATTAAAACAGCGGTTTCCTTTATGTCAGCCAAAATCAGCTATTTCTTTACGCTGTCATCTCTTGTTCTATGTCTTTCTTAGTGTGAGCTTTATTTTCGGATAAAATGCCCAACCAAAATGTTTTCGAAAATGAAAACACAATTGCAGTGGAGGTTATAGCAAACAGAGATCCTCTTGGGAAAGACCTGTAACTGCTGTAGTTGTTCATCTGAAATAACAGAAAACTGTCCGAAAAGAGCAGTTGTGCCGTCTGTGGAGCTCACGACAGAATCACTTCAAACATAACTGAAGAAAAGTGCTGTTTCTCATAAGCTAAAATCATGTGTAATCTTCTTTTTCACACCATGCAGCACAGACAAACCACAATAACTCGCTTACTCTTATTAGATGAAAGAATGAAATGTTTTTATGGGATCTATACACATGAGAGAATGGCATGGTTTTGGATTCATGCTTCCATAGAGTTTGGAAGCATGAAAATCTCCCACTTTAAAACAAAAATTATGTAAAGAACCTTTCAGAGCTATTTGATGAGATATCTTTGTACACGTGACATGATACAGTAACTAATGAGATACTGGAGAATTTCAATTTAATATCATATAATTCTAAATGATTAGATGCAATTCAGGAAAAATGTGCTCTACCCCAGTGTAACAAAAGTATAGCATTAGTGCATTTATACAGAGCCCAAATTAAAAAAAGAATCTTGTTCAGACAGGGTAATTTTATGCGGACAAGTAAAAAAAAAAACAAAAAAACCTTGTCCGCATAACTTGGAAAATGTTGTTAGTAATGTCTGGGTCTCTGACTGTTGATAAAATAATCAAGACATTATTTTTTCACCCCTAGATTCCACGGCACAAAAATAACCACAAATATGAACTTTCTGAAGTGACATGGCCAGGCAAGGCAAGTTTATATGTATAGCACAATTCATACACAAGGCAACTCAAAGTGCTGAACAAAATTAGAAAGCATTAAAATCATAAATAATCACAGAACATCAAAAAGAAAGATAAAGATATAAAATCCCTCAGTTGTATGCACAGCTAAACAGAACTGTTTTTAACCTGGTTTTAAACATTGTCAGAGAGAAGGCCTGTCTCACATCTTCAGGAAGATTGTTCCAGATTTTAGCAGCATGAATCTGAAAAGCAGCCTCCCCATGTTTAGTTCTGACTCTGGGCACTAACAGGAGTCCAGTCCCTGTGCTCCTCAGAGTCCGGGCTGGTTCATATGGGACTAACATGTCACTAATATAGTTTGGTGCGAGGCCATGGAGAGATTTGTAACAAGCAGAGCTGTTTTAAAGTCTATTCTCTGAGCCACAGGAAGCCAGTGCAGAGACCTGAGAACTGGACTAATGTGGTCGTACTTCCTGGTTCTAGTCAGGACTCGAGCTGCTGCATTTTGAATGTACTGCAGCTGTTTTACAGCCTGTTTGGACAGACCTGTGAGCAGGCCATTGCAGTAGTCTAACCTACTGGAGACAAATGCATGGATAAGAATCTCCAGGTCTGCTTTAGACACTATGTTTTTGATCCTGGCAATGTTTTTTAGATGGTAAAAAGCTGCTGATTTGATGTGACTATTAAAATCTAAGTCCTTTAATACCCCTTGATTTCTGACCTGATTTGAAGGTTTTAGGGAGAGAGACTGGAGGTGACAGATGACGCTTTCTCTTTGTTTCTGGGGACCAAAGACAATCATTTCAGTTTTGTCTGCGTTTAGCTGAAGGAAGTTGTTTTGCATCCACTCACTGATGGTGAGACATGGTGTTGTAAGGTGGTCCATGATGTAGGCTCTTCTAACTGAGTGAAGTATTTCTGCTTTTCCAAGGCTCTGAGCATGTATTGCTTTAACGGCCTAATTAAATAAGTGATATATTAAGACCCAATGCTGTTTAATAATTTGCTTGTGGCGTCGAAGCCAACATTAAGAAGTAAGACCATGCTTACCATTACCATAATTAATGTGATCTTACTTTAATGCTAGAATCTTAAATGGAGGTCCGCGTGGTTCCTAAATATTTTATTATGAAGTATTTAGCAGATTAAGGGCTTAGTGGGAGGTTTGAAATAAAGACAAATTCTTCTTAGTTAAGCTACCGGGAATAAAGCAACAAGAAATACTGAAACACAGCACTGATTAGTTGTTAAAAGAGAAAGAAGCATGCATTTTTAATAAGGAGACATCACAAAATAGACTTTTTCTTTTCCATTAGTATGACTAGTGAGGGATAATGATATTATTGCAGTGGGGCCAGGGCAGCGCCTGTAACAAACTCAATCAATGATTACAAACACATGGCTCGTGGCCTGCGGTAAAGTCATAATCAATTCTGCTCCTTTCCTTTTTTCTCAAGCTGTTTGTGATGCAGGCTGGAAGGGAAGGCCACATGCACTGTAATGAAACTGCACCCAGAGAGGGACACGGCACACACACACACACACACACACACACACATATGTTGCGGAGAATCTCAATGAACCCAAAAGATGGAAGCACTGCTCTCCGGTCCGGTTAAGGGTAAGGAATTCTTAGAGCGCTTTCTAGCCTTGTCCCGTACTGCCGCCCACAAGTGAGATAACGGTGACACAGCAATCACACCATGATGAATGAGCAGTGATAGGCACCGAAAATTGCTCCTTGGTGGCGTCTGAAGTTGGGCCCGGAGACTCTATATCTCCAAAGTGAAATCAAAGCTCCGTGTTCAGCCAATTCTTTCTTTCACTGCCTCTTTGTGTTGTGAAAACATTGTCTCATTTGTCCCACCCCCTCTCATTCTCTCCCCCCCTCCCTCCTTGTGTGAAATTAACCGTAGAGTCTGAATCCCAATCACTTTCAACGAGGCCAGTCAGTGCTAGTGCGTTTCTCCCTGACTCTCCAACAGCTGATAAGCCGCCTTTCCCCCCAAAAGAAACACACTGGGCCAATTGCCTTCGCTCAGAGGCCACTTTACGTCCTATCGGATTGATCGGACGACAAGCGGACGGTCTGTGTGCGCACGTGTGGTCCATGCGCCAAGGAGAAAGACGTAAAACGCGCTGTAAGTGCTGTGAAATCTGTTTGTTTCTCTGCTGCGGCAACATACGGCCATTTATCACCTTTGATGTGCTGCAGCAGCTCATCGCCTTCAAAGCTACTGTAAAAGTGCTAATAAGAGCTCAGCGGCAGCATCAAACAGCTCACAGGTTTACACAAGACCCTGATCAAACACAGCCATAATTGGACCAGTTGGAAACGCGAAAATGGTCTTTGTAGTGAAATATAATTGTCCTTTTCCAATTTTTTTTTTAAATTGAGCCATTAATCTCTAACGCAAAACTGTTATAGCAGGACTGAAGTTGTTTTCCAAGGGAGGTACCAAAGAAAATTATAATTTGTACATCCATAAATCTACTCTATGGTCTTCTTCCTCTTGTTAAGTTTTAGTATTCCCAATCCTCCTTTATTTGCTCAAACTAATCTAATTATGGTACATAAAACCTCTTCCATATATTCTATTGCTTTTGTGTCTTGAATCCCTCCAAACAGAACATAAACTACTCTGTGTGAATCTCTCTAATGCCACTGACATTGTACATGAACCTCAAGATCTAAACTACATTCTGAACATAATATAAAATAAATAATAAGTGCATTTACATCATTTGCATTGTTGTTGAGGTCAAAGTGTAGAACAATACACATTTACCACAAAACTTTTCTATCATTGTCCACCAATTGGAAGGTCAAAGGTCAGTCCATCTCTGCAACTCTGAGCTTGAAATTATCACATAGTTCCAGTAGAAAATACAAGATGAGGGCCCTTTTACAGGTTTTACAGGTTGGTACTAACCTTTGTCCAACACAAATTGAAAGATGAAGCTTTGATACTTAGAACTGCAGCTGTTGTAACTTGAAGAAGTGAACAACTGTGTTATAGTCATTAGAGAAACAAGAGGAAGAAATAATAAGGGTACACTTAATAAATTGCTACTGTCAGGTGATAGCTCTCTGGGATGAAAGAGTAAAATGATGCAAACAGGTTGTGCATTGAGACTGGAGTGAATGAAAGTCACACTCCTAGGAGCTACAGTATATTTGCAACACGGGCAGAGGAAAGCTGACATGCTGAATTATTAGCTCTCCCGCTGATGCCCTGTGATGCAGCCTCATCCAAAGCACTCAGGGCAAAAACAATCACACAGCATCACTTCCACTATCCCCAAGAGGATCTAAGTTTGGATCTGAAAAGACCAAATGGCTTTTTGATATGGTAATTGTCTTGTCAAACGGAGGCTGTCGGGCGCATGTGGAGGACTGCCTGTATCTGCTTATGACGATGCCCTTACCAATCTTACCAATATGGTGGTGATGGTTAGGGTGGTGTTGAAGAGGGTCTCTGTCACGTTGATTGATGGAATTTTTTTCTCCATAGACAGTCCATCTTCAGAGTGCCAAAGGCCAATCTGCAAAAAGCCACACACATACAACAGATAAGTCAGAGCAAGTATCAGTTAAGCCAATAAATTATTCATTTCCAGTGTGTTTTTCCCATAAGCTAATCAGTGTGACCTTCAGAGCAAGTAGAGATCACTAAAGTTAGGAGACAGGAGGCAATGTTCTCTTCCACGAGCCGACCCAGGCCATGTGTTCACTCAGAGGCAACAGAATGCATTCATTAAGGCAATTACAGCTAAATCCTGGATCCGCAGGCCTGGTCCCGCTCTTTATTGCTTTAGAGCTCCACATAGAGTCCCCTCGACCGGCACGGCGGCCACACGTGTATGTACGCCCTCTGTTCAATCCTCAAACTCGGTTCTGTAAACATCAGTGCAGAGGGACTGGTCTGTTCGCTCTTTATGCACACTTTCACCTCGCTTCAAAACTAAGAAAGACGAAAACACGGCTCTATGTGGCCTTGAAGATTTATATGCTTTCCATTATGCACCAAAATAATATTCTGGGACTCATTAAAATGCCTGCAGATTTTGAACAATGTCAGCGAGGCGTAATATTTGCACTCAAACCAAGGTTTATTTTGTATATTCATAAAGAACGTTTCCCTTGAGCTTAACATCACACTGGACGCTGTATAATTATGGGTTATTATTTTTTTTTTTTTTACCAAGAATGACTTTTTTAAGTGTCTTTTACAGTTACTAGTGCTGCAGGGAAAACATTTCATAGCATAACTTTTAGTACTGATTTTTTCATAACAATATATACACTGGCCATGATGCCTAAATATTTGTTTAGGTGTCCAGTCAGTGTCAAGTCTCATGATGGCCACTTTCAATACTGAAATCAGGTTGTTTCAGCCCTCTCAAAAATCAGAATCAGAATATTTGTATGGTCATTGTAATAAACAGGAAGTCATAAACTATGGATTTGCTTTGTTATATGGTATAAAGTCAAAATAGGTATAAAGGCATGTGTGAAACATTTCTGAACATGAATTTAGTTTTATAATATGATAAAAAAAACACCAGCATCTGCATCAGACTGAACAGTATCTGTCCTCTTTACCAGTTAAATGATTTCCCTGGTGTTACATTAATGTTAACTTGCAAACATTGACAGAGAGGTTTAAATGGCTACTTGACCTGTCACACATCATTTAAAAAACAATCAAATCTTGTTTCAATGATATTTTAGTATAGACATCGAAAACATTGACATTGAAATTAGTCATTATACAGAAGCGTGTTATTGCAAACTTACTTTTGGTTCAGTTGATAACATTTGTAATGTATGTGCAGTATGTACTCAACCAAACATTCCATAAATAAAATGATGAGACCTGGGCAGAACAGCCTAAAAATTTGCAGCAGAGACACTGACGAGGGAGTACCACTGCTCTGTACAGGATATTAGACTGACCACACATGGTTCACTTGTTAAACCAGAAAGAGTGCAATACTGTTCCTACCTTTGCTCCAGTTTCTCCAAAACTTCCCACAGAAGGTGCAATATACCACAGTTATGGAATTCTTGATTACAGCTGCAGGACCCCCCTCCCCTCTCTCTTTCAGTGTGTGGTCTATCCCCCCACCCACACCCCCTCTGACACACCACATTGGACGAGGCGGGTCAGAGCAATGTCCCATCAAAAAGATCTGTATGTTTTCCGCATGTACTGTGTCTCTCCAAAAATGTTTTGTCTGAAATATATGTTTGTTTTGCTCTTTGCTGTCATAAGGAGCGCAGAAATGTTAGTATGCAGCCAGCCTTGATGTTTATTCATCGGACTGAATTTCTCTATTGTGATCATTTCATTTTGTGAATTTCTCATCTCATCTCTCAGATTGTAGTGAAATATCAAGAAGTAGTAAGAGTTTACGCAGCAGCCGTGTTGGGTAAGTTACTCTGAAACTGAACACATTATAAAATAATGAGTTTGTAGTATACAGAGATAACAATGTAAAGCATGAATTAATATACAAATAATAGCCTCTTTTTAAGCCAAGTGCGATATCTAATCACTTGCCACGGTTTCAGAATATTTTCTGTCTGTTTCTCAAAATCATTTGGGGTTTTCAAGTCCTTGCCCAGTTTTTGTTTATACACCCACTAAACTAGTATTTATCAGATTGCCATGTGCTGTTTATAATCTGAGGCACCATTATTGCAAATTTGTGCTGAATCTAAACCGAGAGAGCCAACTGTTTAGCTTTATCGCAACACATTACCAGGGTGTGCTCATGCGTAATTTAAATATAACGCTTTGAAATATCCGATCATGAAAATAATTGTCTATTCATGGAGATAGGCATTTTGGAGGCCGTTCAAACTGATGAATTCTGATGCCTGCAGTAGAAGTGAAGAAAGCGCTGGCTGAATCAAAGATTTCCTTTGAGAGTACACGATCAAAAAAATCTCGCCTTTCATTTTCTCTGGTGTAAACAACACCTAGTGAGCACAAAAAGACCGGCTCATATAACACAGGGCACAGCTGCTGATCGGGATGCATGGGCGTCAGAAAAAAACACAAGCAGAATATGCACAGGAGTAGAAAAAAAATAAACCTGGGGATATGCAATCAGTGTCCACAATCAGCTGTTTGACCGGCAGAGGTGTGGGAGATGGGAGATGCTGCTTTGACTCAGCTGGCGTCAGCAAAGGCCTGAGCGCTGAGGGTGACAAAGAGGCTAATAAGACTGGCTGGGTGTAGCTCTGCGCCGGAACCAGAGAGGGATAAAAGCGTCCAGGAAGGAAGGTGCGTCTCTCAGGGGGGAGCAGGAGAGGAACTGTCCTTTTGGTGGCTTTAGCGCTATAAGAAAGCCACTCCCATTTACAAGAAGAAGAGTTTTATTTGTTGGCCTAATGTAAGCGGAAAACACTGACATTTATCAAACTGACTGAAAGCCTTTAATGCACCAATTATTCTCTCTAACATTTTACTTTTGATTCAAACACTCACAAAGAGGAGCTTTCTTTTTTGCACCGAGACCACACAACTGTTTAATGGACGCATTGATCAAACCCGAGGAGAGTTAATGTGAACCAGGTAAGAAATGACTCATTATGTCATTCCCCTGGCAGTGACTCGAATATTTTAGCAGAATACAATAACTCAAGCAGGGAAACTTAACTATGTCATCAATCCTGCGATGCGCACCTTCGCATAAACCCTTATTATACAGCTGCAAAACCCCAGAATATACTTCTAGGCTTTCATCATGCAGAAGCTAAATTGTGCTTGTTATTTGCGAACAAGTAAATAAATGATGATGACGGCGGCCTGTTGTTTATTAAATCAGTATTTAGGATGTGGGAAAGGGGCAGGCTGTTGCTGGAGTGTGCACAATTTGTTTTGGAGAGGGGCACTGAGGCAGGAGATTGAGTGGGCTGTAATAAGAGTGAGGGGAATAGTCAAAAAGCAGACGCAATAAATGGAAAGGGAAGACAGAAAGGGGAATGTCAATCATGTACAGGGGAGGTGCACTGGGCTTCTGCTGAATGGCAAGGAAATCAATGACAAAGAATGAGGAGCAGCCGGCGCGGAGCGCAGAACGCAAGACGAGCAGGAGAAAGACAGTCAGAATTTATGTGGGAGTAAAATAAGGAGAACGGTATGGACGGACGAGGGGGCAGAGGGGAGCGGCATGCCTGAGAGGGATTACTCGGGGCACCGGCTGCAACTGGAAATTACAGCGGCAGAAAGGGTCTGGGATGGCTGCTCACTGAAGCGACTGGATTGGCTGGTATTTCTGTCAGAAAAGTGCTGTGTCCAATAGCATGTGGCGAAATGGTGCAATGACAGATGCATCTATCACATAAGAGTGAAGCCTCCACTATCAGACCTAATGTCACACGGCCCACTTGTATCTGGGGTAAAGCACTCAAGTGTTGCACTGCTGTAATGAGCCACAATTGAAATGCTCCCCTCACAGGTGCGCAGACATTCTGTGAGTTTAGGAGTAGCAAAGAAAAATGCCCAAAGGTAATGTGAAAGGACCTTTGTAACTTTTATAGATCCATTGTGCCATATCAGCAGCAAGAAACCATCTGAAAAACAGTTTTTACCCCTCAATAGACATTACTCCAGGATGTATCAGTGTTATGGTTGTTCCACAAACCCACTAAGCAATGAGCTCGCATTCTGAATGACGAGCTCAGCTGATAGAAAAGCAACAATGGCAATAGCTTTTCCTTGCAATGAACTGGAAAAAGGGGCCGCCTTCAACACATTGTCTTGGTATTTCTCATCCTCTGGTGAAACAAGGCTAATTTAAAACATGCCTTGGGCAAAGATCTCCATCTAGACACAAATCGGTGGTGGAAGCCATATGGTGCACAAAAGGTTGGCGAAAGTTCAATATTTTGTCTCAGTATCTACGCTTAACAATGCATGATTGAGGTTTTTAACAAAGCATGTTGAGTTGTTCATATTTTATTTTTCCTATCCTGAACTTATCCGCAATAAATTATTTCACAACCAGCGTGAAAAACAGCAAAAATATTGCTTATAGGAATGCAAGAGTCCGACAGCTGCCACAGGGCACTCTAAGAATGGAACCCCTCACAGTCTCTATTCTTGTAAAACAGTGTGAATCCATCCCTTAACATAAACTTGTAGAATATCATTCCGATGATTAGGGCCATGCAGCACTACTCTCTGTTGATCTGCTGTTTTTGAGCATACACAGTTGAGCACCTGACATTACATCAAAACAATGCACTGATATAAAGAGGAGCCATCATTTTATTGTGATGTGCTTTGGAACATTTCACTGGAGATAAAGATTGAGACTTCATTCTCTGCCTCTGATTCAGACCACGGCTCATGTTGACCCTTTCATTTCATCATTAGATTAATGTGTTTGATTTGACCTTCAACACATTCTATTTCTGCAGTGAGAGGATGTATTTGTAAGACCTGTGTGCAATGTACCCACTCCAAATTATATCAGAACAGTCAAGGACAGACCGATGCTTTTTCTTTGTCCTTGTTGTGAATAAATGG